TCTCCTAAGCCCCCCCCCCCCACCAAAAGGAAAAAAAAGGAAAGAAAAAAGAAAGAAAGAAAAAACTCAAGAAAATATAAAATGAAATGATAGCGAGAGGGAAAAATATCTGGCTGACACTACACAAGAATGGAACATTATGAAGGCCTCTCGCGAAGGAACGCAACTGTGCTCTATTTTATTTATTGTATCTCTCTCTCTTGTGATTATTAATTCTTTCTCTTCTTTTTCTCGGTCTATTTCCCGTTTTGTTTGTTCTGATTTGCACTTTGTTATGCTATCTTTATTATCTCTCTTTTTCTATTTTTCTTTGTCTCAAATTTATATTTTTTCCTTATATTACTTTGTTGTTTTTTTATTATTATTTTCTTACTAAGCCATAAACACTACTTTCTATTTATTTTGTTTTCTGTGACTATTTAGGGGTGATTCTTTCTCTTCCCTCTCTTTCTCTCTCTCTCTCTCTCTCTCTCTCTCTCTCTCTCTCTCTCTCTCTCTCTCTCTCTCTCTCTCTCTCTCTCTCTCTCTCTCTCTCTCTGCATCTCACTCTTTCTGTCTCTTTTTTGTATCTCTCCATTTCTCTCTCTCTCTCTCTCTCTCTCTCTCTCTCTCTCTCTCTCTCTCTCTCTCTCTCTCTCTCTCTCTCTCTCTCTCTCTCTCTCTCTCTGCATCTCACTCTTTCTGTCTCTTTTTTGTATCTCTCCATTTTCTCTCTCTCTCTCTCTCTCTCTCTCTCTCTCTCTCTCTCTCTCTCTCTCTCTCTCTCTCTCTCTCTCTCTCTCTCTCTCTCTCTCTCTCGCTCGTTCGCTCGCTCGCTCGTTCTCTCTCTCTCTCTCTCTCTCTCTCTCTCTCTCTCTCTCTCTATCTATCTATCTATCTATCTATATATATATATATATATATATATATATATATATATATATATATATATATATATATATATATATGTATATATATATTTTTTTCTCTCGCGATCTCTGTCATACATAAGTACATACTGTAATGTCGCATGTGAAATAAAGTATCACTTTTAAAATCTGTTTTATATAACCCGTCCATCTTCCCTCGATACAAAAAGTAAGATGAATAAAAAAAGAGAGAGGGACAGGTGAAGAACAACAATAAAAAGAAGTATGAGCATATATATTTTTTTTAAACGCAACACGCACACTGACACGTAGATACACGTACAAACACGCACACACACACGTACCTGTATATACTCATGTACTCATACACACACGTTCACGCACACGCATACACACATACACACACACACACACACACACACACACACACACACACACACACACACCTTCTAACAGGCTGAAGATCGCCATATATGGAAATCAGGAAATTAAGGAATATTTATGTAACTGATAATTTTGCGATTAAAGATCTTTTTTTCTGTCTTTCTTTTTTAGGGAATAAGAAAAGTAAACGTAGTTATGTAATGGCGTTTTTTTTTTCAATTTTCTTCACATTTATATATTTTTTAACTACTCTCCTATTTTGTCTGATTTTTTTTGTCTATTTCGCACTGCGTCACTGACTAAGAAATCAATTAATAAAGTGTTCTTATATTTTGAAAACCCTTCGCTCTCCTTATTAAAGTCAGAGACGTTTTTTTCGCCCATGTGAACTGCCCCTATCCAGTTTTTTTATATCTTGGAATTATGATATAATTACGAGTTATATATATATAAATATTAGTCATATACACAGCTATCATGAGCTATGTAATCAATATCATTATCATTAATCATAATTTCTATGTATGCATGTATATAAGTATGTACGTATATACACAACATTCATACACTATAGACAATTGTCTTCATTATCATTACTATCACTATCTTCATTATAGTTATCATTATTATCGTTATGATCATTATCACTTTTATAACTATTATCATTTTCATTATCACTATCACTTTTTAATTACAAGGTATATAATAAAACAATTATTTCTTACAAAGCAAAGATCTGGTCAGGTAAAAAAGATCAAATCGTACATAAATTTCCTTCTTCTAAGTATCTCGTGGCCCTTCTAAAAAGACAAAAAAGTGGTAAAAAACTGATGTAATATAAAAAAAGAAAAAAAGGGACGAAGACAATGTTAAATCGACACAAAAAGAGTAAAAAAAAAAGAAAGCTTAGAAAAACTCTACACGTTCGGCCTTCGCTGACCAACCAACCTTGTCTCTGGTATCCTGCGCGAGAGGGGGCGGGCCCTGGGGGCGGGGAGAGAGAGCAGAGGGCCAGGGGGAAGGGGGAGGAGTTGGAGAGGGGGCGGGGAGAGAGAGCAGAGGGCCAGGGGGGAGGGGGAGGAGTTGGAGAGAGGGCGGTGAGAAACACGGAGGGGAGGGGTTGGAGCTGTGACGTAGGGAGTGGTCAGGAAACTAAGTGAGGGGGGGAGAGGGGAGGGGTCAAGAGAGGACGGGTGCCACAAGGGTATATAAGGGAGAGTGCCTCGTCGATGTAGAAGGAGGTTTGT